TTTGGAGAAGTGCACCGTGCGCATCATCTTACACTGTCCTTTTCTCAGTTTGACCTTTGGCATCCTTTGGCGGGCGTGCAAGTTCAACCTCTGGAAGTTTTGTTGCCTGCTTCGGCGGGCTATCAAAATATTCCGACTTCAGCATGATCCATATTCTTCTTGCAATCTACCTACTGCTTAATGGACCAACTCCGACCAGAAATCAATCTATGAGACTCATCAAGTCGACGATCGAGTGAACTTGTCCCTACATTGTTACATGCTATTACCAAAGAAGCAAATGAAAACGCACACGACGAGTGCCTGCCCCCTGGTTTTTCTCTTTCCACGCAGGCCCACGGTGAGGACATCCACAGCTAGCTGGGGAAGTGCAATGGAGTCCATTCTTCACATCTCTTCACAATCTTCACGTCTCGCCATTCGTTGTTCTGGAGGCCCAGTCAGCCCACCCGTCAGCCCAGTCTCGCCACCCGTCGGCCCGTCCCAAGGTCGCTACCGGGTCCAGTTCTCCCAGCAAACGTCCAGCATTCGCCGCCCAGTAGACCGACCTGGATGTGGATGCGGAGATGCGAAAAAGGCGAGAAGCCATGCGGTGGAATCCGGGTTGGTTGAAGAAAAGGCCAAGTGGGGTAGTGTAAAAACCCCGTGTCTTTTGCAATACCCCGTGTTAATACTAAACCGCTGAGCACAGGGTTATTACACGAGCCCAAGAGTCACGATCGGGTCTCAATTGGAACGTGGTCCGGCACGGGGAGCATTCCAAATGACTGGACGTCCTTATTAGGGGACTAAGCCGTGCAATACTCATCCAAAAAAAGCCAATCATGATCACAGAATAGTCAGAATAACAATATATTATACTATTATATATATATAATTAAATTATATACATTCATAGAGACACCATGGGACACCACCACAAGCCTGTTCGATCACCACTTGAGGCCAAACCTCCGGGCCTCTCCCAATGTGCCAAATCATGGCCGCTGCTGAGTCTGCGGCCCATGTTGCTGCCCACTCCCTGAAATGGCCAGCACCTGAGTACAACTGGGAAGAGGGCACTTGCAAATGGCGTGCGTTGGGATCCGGTGGTAGCAGCGGTAGCAGATAGATAGTTTAGGTGGAGTTGTGCTCCGAATTGACATGTGAGAAACTTGCCGTAATATGCCGTAATATAGACTAAACTCTGGGCTCAAACCCCTGTTTTATGAAAAGGACCAGGCAAACAGAAGCGTTGTTCCTTTTTCAGGTGCCCAAGCAAGCATACTCATTGGACCTCATCGGAGCACATCACCGGAGAGCGTGGGTCCGCACCTCGTGGAAGGGAAACTGGTCCGCTTTCATCTGTGTCAAGATCATGTCCAAGGCCTTGCGAGATAGACGACGGAAAACAGAAAAGCCGCCGACTGGGCGCTCCACGTTTCTGGCGCCGATTCGCCAAGAAAAGAGACATTGGCGGTTGTTGAAGGTTTTGAAATCAAGAATCGGTGGAAATGGCTTCACAACGGCTTCACAACAGTGAATCTCAAGAGACTTCCTTGCCAACTCTGGAACATCTTTTGCGGGTAGCCATCCAAACTCACTGGCAATGCATGAATAGACTTTAATAGACTAAACAATGAGTAAACTCTGAGGGTTAGTTTCCTCTTGTTTCCATTTTAGCTACATCCATTGCGTGTCTTGGAAAGTCAATAAAGGGTTCGTTCATCTTTGGTGCAAGTATTTCTGCATTATTTTTGGCATTACTTCTGACCTCGCACTGTACTTCTCATGAGAGCCCTTTCAGATTCTAGTCTCAGTCCAGCATCTTCTCCCCTCTCCAACCTGTCCAGCATCTTCTCACCACACCACCGCGACCGTCCGACCTCGACCCACATCAGGACAGGCGAAGTTTTGCGGCTGCTGGTGCTCGAAGCAGACATGCCGCCAGAGGTTTTAAAGTGCCTCAGATCGTGAAGAGGCCGGGACATACAAATCGCGTACTGAAGAAGGATGACCCGTCAAGGGCGACATGTTGAACATGTTAAACCACTCATTCTTCTTGTGCGCGTTGATCAGATGTTCATGATGCAGGAAGTACTGTAATGATAAAAACAATGCATTTTCAGCAATTTACTGGATGAAGAAGTCCCCGTAATCAAAAACTTGGTTGAACCACAATGAAAGTGAGCTTCCGATGACAATTCAACGGCCTCAACAAAACGAGTTTTGTGCCACACCACGGCAAGTCCTGATCGAAGTTGATGACATATCTCTTGAAGACCTGCCACTGGAAGGCACTGGCAGGAAGATCCAGCTACAGTAAACAACAGGGTAGCGTAACATAGCGTACCAAACAACTGTCCAAAGCATTGGGCAAGGAAAGCTTTGAAACATCTTTATCAAAATCTAGGCCACACTAAAACAAGGCTTTGACTCTGAAGGTCCTCTGTTCGCCCACCTGAAGGTCCTCTGCGCGAATGGCCGTGGCCTTTAAGCTCTGTGTGGAACTGTCGAAGCCCAGGAACAGCGCCATCCGCAGTGGAACGGGTGTCCACCCCCCGAAACCGGCGGTGTTCGGTGCGCTTTTTCGGGCAGTGCTGGGCAGCTTCGGGCTGCCGTGAAGTCGTTTTCGGTGCGCTTTCAGCTGAAATGGTTCAAAAAAGCTTTCACTGTCACTTGGCAGTAGCACTGCCCACACCCACAGGCATTGCAGCTCTGCTTTCTTGATACTTGCTTTCAGCACTTTAGTCGATCAAAACAAGTTGGAGAAGAGTCCTGTCAATTGTGCTTGCTGATTTGCTGATTCTCATTGTGTTCGATTGTGTTCCATGATCAAAGCTCTTGGCTGTAGGCTGCTTCGGACTTGCTGCTCTGCAACCCTTGGGAATATTGGGCTCCTTGCTTTGCTCTTAAGATTTATGACCTTGAGACAAAGCATGCGCGGGCCAACAGGTAGTCATTGTTCTCTACGAACTAGTGTTCTGGTCGTGGATGCTATGCCACACCGTGAAGGCTGAAATTGAAAGCGACCTGTCAAGGACCTGAAAATATTCTTCCTGACTCTACAAACTGCAAAATTTCAAGTGACCAGTGAAAGAACCAATATGGTTAAGGCATTTCTTAATAGATGCATCTATAATAGTCAGGGTGGGGGTAGTCGAGCAGGGGGTAGTATAGCACTCCGTGATGATCATCTGCAATGAGCATCCTCAGAAAATCTACAGTACAAATGAGTTGTTCTCCATCAAAAGCCCTCCCTCGCCATGCCACCAGATCGCATGAACTTGCAAAAACACCTGCCATCTCCTGGACGAGTGACAAAACTCCCAACCGTATTTGTGGTGGTTGTAGCCTCAAAAAAACACCCATTACAAGAAGCTTGGTGTACGCCATCTTGTGGGATTCCCTTTTTTCTTCCCATCCATGAGACTGAAACCGCGATGTTCTCACGTTGATGGGTCCCTTTTTCGCACATGAAACCGCTCCCGGAACCGGCGACCTTTTTCGCTCAGCCACGCGGGTCCGAACCGCGCGGCACGTCGGTCTCGTCGGTCTCGTGGACGTCCCTCCTCGGTCGCAGCGTGCGAACGCCGCGCCAGGTCCAACCCCGAGGGGATTCATCTCAAAGGTCGCTGTGCCAAAGAAGAAGACTACGAAGCAGACTGAACTCTAAATACCGGAAGCAAATGGATTGGTTTCTTTGCACTTGAGGGAGATTGAGGAGATGCTCAGTGGTGCGGGTTTCTGTCCAAAAACATTACGAACGAAGCAGCATGATGCATTCTTTTCCACAAAAACCGATGTTGTTCCTTTTCTGTTGTCCCGTTGTCTTCTTTATCTTATTCTTGTGATGGTCGCCAATCTGGTGAGCCACTGTTCATCCCTCTTCCTCAATATGTGAAGGGGATGATCATTAATCTGATGGTCAACCAATAAAGGCTCCCTCCCGGTTGATCGTGTCATACCTTGAAGGCCATACCCAACTTGGACACAAAGCATTTAAGAGTAAGTGTGTGTTTGTTTAATAAAGGAGACACCCAACCAATGGTTTTTGATCTATCTTCCTTCTTCCGGGGTGTTCTCCCTGGGAGGTCTCCCTAGAAATACACAGCCTTTTGGGGATGCGGATGGTCATGCGTTTGCCCCTCCGAAGTTGTCGGTTTCTCATTCCTGCGCAAAAACCGGATTCTGGAATGCCCTTGCTCACTGATTCTGTCAGCGTCTTTTCTCAGCTGATACTCTTTTTCAGCATATATTTGATTTAGGTTGCAACAACTGGATCAACGAGCGAGGCAAATCAAGAATCCAGATCAACCACGTGCCAAGAATCCAAATCAACAAACATGCGTTCGGTTTGCGGCCTTGCGAGGACGGGCCAAAGATATCTGCCAAACGTTTGCACATGAAAGGCATCCTGGCATCTTATTGGGAACCCATACCACAACACAGTGACCTTACAGTATACCCTAGACCCTTCAATGACACATGAACCCTTACACTGTTGGGTGACACTGTTTACTGTGTTTACTGGCATACTGTGTCCTCCTGACCATCCGATGGTTCCCATCCGATGAGTCGGATCCAAACACCGCCGATCCGCACCTCCGCACCGTCGCGGCCGTGGCCCTGCGGAGCTGGCTGCGCAGCAGACGGTGAAGCGACGGAGCTGAGGGTGGGGGTGCAGATGCGATGAAGGCCACAAACTCTTGGAAGGCACTGATTGAATCAGACATGTTTCTTCCAGCACAGGGTTCAGGGCAACATTCGGCATCGGTTGAGCCAGCTAAAGAAGTGCATGGCACATGAATGAAACATTTCAGAGCAGTGAGCAGTGTGGGGTGTGAAGCCTTTGGTTCCACTGCAAACATGCATCAAAACGATGAAAATAATAGTCTGATAACAATTATGGCAATTATGGCTGTCTCTTTGACAGCGCTACATTGGGTCCTCGCATGTCCCTCCTTTGGGGAGTGGCTCCATCAAAAAGGGATCTCATGTGATCGTGTTCATCTCTGCGGTTTTTGGACTCACTTTTTTGCAAGCTCGAACTGATAGAGCCGCTTCGACAGAAACATCGACATGGGCGTTGGCAATATGCTTCTCTGAGAGCAATGGCCGGTGTGTGACCCTTGTCACCACCCACTACAGAGCTTCTGAAAACTTTCGATATAGGCACTAAGCCAAATATCGAGTGGAGAAAGTGCTCCAATCACGGCTGCACCTCTTCTCTATACAAATTTCTGAACGCAAGCACCCTGCAAGCTCGATGAACATGTCAAACAACTCTTTGCTAGCAGTTCCAGGCTGCCGATTTGGACTGCCACCCTCAATCAAGTATGGTTGGTGCATCCTCCTATGAGCACGGCTTAGTCTTGGGCCAGTGACTTGGTTAAGCTGACGTGGAGTCTTGGCTTGCGCCTAGGTGCAAGGAACAACTAGGAAAATGCAACAAATACATCCTCCAACCAAACAAAGCAAGATGGGTAGGGAGGAACCCATGTTCCAGCCGTCCATCGGCTATACAACCACGATTCACGCACGCGGGCGCGTGTGGCACCCCCGAGCGGGGCCATAGACCAAGATGTCGCCTCAGCGATGTCTGCAAATCTCGAGTCTGTGGTGCAGTTGGGGTGTGTTCGACACCACATGCAGAAGAACATCATACTTTCATGCATCTTCATACCTCCGGATATGCCAAAGGCATGCCAAAGGCATGCCAAAGGCATGCCAAAGGCTACTAGCATGTATACTTGCTATAGTGTATTTGTTCGCCATATGATCTGTCTTTGCCCTTTTCAACCCTTTTGGCGGCTGGCCCGGCTTGGCTGGCGTCCTATCCTTCAGCCCGGGCCTCGTCCCACTGGTGGGGCACTGCTAGTCGGTGTCCGTTCGCAACTGCAGCTGATGGTTGCACAAAGGACAGCGCAGCTGGCCGTTCACCTGGAAAAAACGCGCAGGTGGCTGTCGCACGTCGTGCAGGTCAGTTTCTAAACGGATCGAACCGGCGGATCGGTCGGTGAGCCGGATCGGTCGAGGGTCGAACGTGGGTCTGTGGAATTAGTAAGGCACTTGTTACTACTAGCGTGGCACTTGTTCCTAATAGCTTCTTGTTACTACTAGTAAGGCACTTGTTACTAGTGTTTGATGTCTGTGAAAACCGGAAGGAACAGCTTCAGCTGTTGTGGAAACCACAATACGCTGGGTTTCAGAAAGTATGGACTCTGCAATAGATCGAAGAGTGACCCCCGGCACCCCCGTCTAAAAATGGATTGCAACTTGTTTCTATCTAAGTCTGTATCTAGTTGGGACCTCAATATGTGTGACTCGCGAGCAAATTGCAATGAAGGCTAAATGGAGGGTGTGTGGAGAAAGGGGGTCAGCAAAAATCGCTTAGACGAAGTTAGTGCATCAAAAATACCTTCCACGAAGTTCTGCGAAGGTTTCTGGGATTTCGTTGCAGTCAGTTCTCCTACTGGCCCACCATTCCACGAACTGTCCACGAATAGCCTTGGGTTCTACGAATGTCCTGCGCCTTCCACGATGTTAGTAGAACAGGTTTTGCAAAACCCTTTCTGTGCACTACCCTTCCGTTTGCCTCTGATGGAAGCAAATGCATCTGCGTGGGGGTAGCATCACAGCGGGCCACATCAATCAAGGGTTGAAACCATAGTTCAAGAACATTGTGAAGACCCAAGAAATTCCACAGAGAGAGAGAGAGAGAGAGTCCCAGTTCTGCTTTTCGCTTGCGCAACATGACTCGTGTTGGACGGAACAACGAAACCAGACTTCCATCCACACTCTCGGGACTGGAAACCCTTCAGTTCGGCCCCTGCGACCCCTGGCCCTTGCGACCCGCGCGGCCCGCCCACTGCACAATGCGACCCGCATCTCTCCCAGCGGATCTCTCAGTGGCCAAGGAGCAAGCCACTGCTTCACACACTGGCAGTGAAATCGATGTTTGCACTCAAGCGAGACCACTTCCTTCAGCGTTGGACCAAACAGAGGGCGCGAACCCTCACTCTGAATCGAAGAACAGCAGATCGTGCTCACATGTGTCTACCGAACTCGGCTTTTTTTCGTAGAGTCTCACAGCAAGTGTCAGCCAACAGAACAGTCCACGACCATTTCATCAAGAGGTTCCGCCTTGCTCCAAATGCACAGGTGCAAGAATTTGTGCAATCCCTTGTGGATCCACAATGATCCACAGTACAGTGCTCTATCCCCCAGCCCCAGTCCGCGCGAAACCCTTTCACAAGACCCAAGCGGGGTCGCAAAAGGCAGCATGTTCCCAAATTCACCTGTAAGGACCCTGTATCTGCCAAGTCTAGGCCCCTGAAAAAACCAAGCAGTTGGCCCATCTCAGTTGGCCAAGATTGTTTTGAGGATTGGCCAAGATCTGTTGCTGACAGCCAGACTGTGAAGTCCAAAGCCAAGAAATCTAAGCTGCTGCTTAAGAAGGTCGCGTATTGGTCACCCAGCTGGCTCAATGGGGGTGGATTTTCTCCTCATACCAACTAGGGATAGAAAGGGCAGACTCCTATTTGTTTCGAGACCATGTTGTCAACCAGTTGGCCAAGCAGCTGATTTCTTGCAGCATGTCTTCACCTTCATGTCTTCCTGACAAATGGCGCACACCGGTGGCCCAGAGGTCTCGACCGCGTCGTCGTCGTTCTCGGAGGAGTTGTCCACAGGATGGAGGAGCGTCTCGACCGCGGCAGCGAGGCGTTGCTTGCGCAAGCAATGCGACAGGATCCGGTTGTGCTGCCTGGGGCGACCGTCTGGTCGCTGCATGAACTTGTTGTCTGTGTAGACCGTTTCGCGCCTAGTTGTCGAGGGTCAACTTGAATGTGCACCTACTCGAGATGTCTCAGACTTCAGGTGACCAGTCGTCTGCCGATTCGCGGTTGCCTTTTTCTGAGATCCAAATATTTAATATACAATATAGATTACAATCGTATTTACTGTAATATAGCCATCTAGTCTCTGATTCGTTCGTTGACTGCACACCTATAGCAGAGCAATCTGCACGGAGTAGCACGCACTCCGCGCTCCGGAAGCACTCCACTCGCGACGTCTCGTGACCCTATCATGAGCTCCAACGAAATGTTTAACAGCATAATTCCGTAGTCGTTGCTTCCTATCTGATTTTCTGGGGTCTTTGGTCTGTGGAACATCCGAAAACACCCACCCACCGACGGACCGACGGCCGCTGCGGGTGGTGGTTTTCGCCAGCGGGCGCATTCATCACGACGTTCACCAGGATGTCCACCGTCCTGGTGGTGTCCGTGGTGCACACACCGAGAGTCACGGTGCCCGACGGCCACACGGATGGTGTTTTTGTCAGTGCCAAAAAAATGGCGCTGTTGGGGCGTGTTGGGGAGTTGGGGTGGTTTGGAGGGAGCACCGGATAGTTCTTTATTTGTTCCTTTTTTCCGGGGTTAAGTGCATGAAACATATAGGCGCCGAGGATGTGAATGTTTTGGACAGGGAGTCAATTTTGCACAACTTGGATGCAATACAACGCAATACAAGAGCTGGGCTATTCTGAGATATATTAGTGTCTGAAATGACTCCACAGTGATAAACGATGATAAACAACAGCATTGAACAACAACTTGCACCAGCTGCTCCACCAGCTGATGCATGAGAATCCCACTTTCTCTGAGAGAATTTCCCGATACCCTCCCTCAAACAATCATGGAAGCTGCGCCGACCCCCCCTTTGTAAAGGACACTTGGTCTTCCAGGGGCCTACGTTCCACTTCCATGATTGTTTCAGGGAGTGTACTTCAAGGCTTTTGTAGAGCAACACTGGCTGTGCTCACCCTCACCATTGGATGGCTGCATGACCCGGACCTCTGTGGTTTCGAACCTGCCGAGTGACCGTCCGGGCGCAAATTGCTCCAACATCTTCTCACTGTCGGTGAGGCCATTGATCTCCAGAATCACATGCCCCACTTCCTCAGGAATTGGGCAGGGTAGAGAGGAGGGTAGGGGCCTGCAAACGCTGAGATGGTCTGAAGAGTGGTCTGAAGCAACTCGTGTAACTAGTGCCTCAAGCCCAAAAAGGACAAACAGAAACACTTGCCTTGAGGAGAGAAGCCGAAGTCAGTAGATGGCAAACAAATGCAAACAGCTGTGTATACAATATACATAAAACATATAATATATTAAACATATACAATATACAGTAAAAACCTGGCTCGTAGCCCGGACAGAAGCTTTTGGCCTCCAACTCCAAGACTTCCCCTCCATCCTTCCTAAAACCTTCCAGGGACTTTCCAGAAGAAAAAACAAAACAAACACCTGATGAGAACAGCAGAGAAGGACTCCAAGACTTCCACTGCCGCGTGTCCAGCGGAACCTCCGGATTCTGCGCGTTCCAGCGCCCGACCTCGGCGCTGGACGGCACTGGGTCGACTAGATTGTTGGGTGGAAGCATCCATCACATCCTTGTGGTACACATCGTATACTACTATCATCTACTATCAAAGATGATCAAACTATCATGCAACTTCGGGGCCTGATAAAAAAAAAGGAAACAAGAAAACGCACACACACACACCTCCTTCATATACCGAGCCCTCGTCCCCGGACTGGTCTCCGGTCTACCCGCCACACGCGTTCGGAGAGGCACCACTTCCGACTTCTGCAGCTTCACCACGACCAGTCCTGGCGAGTCGAAACCAGAGCGGAACAAGAAAGCCCGGAAAGCCCGGAAAGTTGTTTGGGGGGTGAAAACCATGGGGAAACCCTGCAGATAGTTTTTATTTGAAATCCTTAAAACCACTTCATTGACTGAGTCATGTGTAGCAGTCAAGAGAGATATGAACCTCTTCAAGACCAGGGGGAAGAAGATGCATCATGAACAAAGCGTCCGGAAGTCGACGATTTGAGGTCGTGTGGGTCCAGAAAAGGTGCTTCCTTCAAAAGTAGTTTGGAGATGTTTGTAGAGAAACCTCCTTGATTGTATCGACTTAGAGCAGGACTTAGAGCACCTGGAGCATCACGTTTGGGATCTGCATTTGGGGATCATCACCCAACCAAAAAGAATACCTCTTCTACTACCTCTTCCATATTAGAAGGCACCTGAAGGCACCTGAAGGGGACTTCCTGCAGCATTTCCTTCCACGATGGACTGGATAATAGGTTCTCCCGGATGTGTGATTAGAACTTTGGATGTCCTCTATCATCTCTATCTATCTAGGAGTGACACAAAATACCAGCCTTCCAACTTCCAACGGTAGAGGCCTATTACTCAGAATCCATCAAACAGCACATGATCTTATGTGTGGTGGGTTCAAGTATAAGTACCCTTCAACTTCTCCGCTTTCACTAACGAAGTTGGGACCATAATTCGATCCAGCACAAGAAGCTAAAGCTGCTGCCATGTTCCCGGATTACCCGCACCCATCCATTCTTCGCCTACAGTAGCCACGCCGTGCTTCCCCCCTCTTCTCGCCTTCGACCTGGGGGTGTCCGGCCATGAAGATGCCAATGGGCTGGCCCTGGCGGTGGGGCCTCCCCCATGAGCTCCGGAGCGACGCGGCGGCGTGACGCCGAAACCGTGGGAGCGGCAGCTCTCGGGCGGTTCAGCGCGGGAGAAGAAGCGTCCACCGCGTGCTCGGTGGTGGAAGAACCGTGGAGTTTGGGGAAGAAATCCTCGTGCTTTTTGGACTGATCTCCGAGTCAGTGAGGTGCACTGTCCGTGAACATCTTCAGGTTGGTCAGGTGATCTGAATCTCAGCCGAGGAGGGCCAGCTGCAGCGTCTTCTTGAGCTCTGCGGCTGTGAAGTGACACCCATAAGATTTGGTGAATGAACATGAACATGAACCTTAATTCTTTGATTTGTGGAAGATTGCTGGTGAACAAAGACTTCGGCCTGTGTGGGTTTTGTGTTGGCCCGGACCTTCGCATGGCTCCGTACCCGCACGGATGACCCCCTCGGAGCATCGTGCAGCATCGAACTGACGTGCAGGGCGTGACGGCATAGGGTCTATCCTATTCCTTGTGATGGTTAAGTTGCAGTCTATTCTTGTTAACCATCATCCAAGTTAAGCTTGGGTCTATCCTTGTGATGGTCTGTCCTTGTGACCTTGGATGATGATGGTTAAGTTGCAGGCCTTTGTGACAGAAAACAGTGGTAAGTGTTTACTGACTGTTACAAAGGACAGACCCTCTCGCGCAAGCATCAAAACATCAACCACAGGTGCACCGCAACATGAGCAAATGAACAAATAACTGAACTCCAAATTGGCACTTTAGTGACTTAATTGGATTCACTTTGACAGAAGGCGCATCTAAACAAAACTTCCTTTGGCTGAATGGTGCTTGGTAGGAATAAGGGAAGTTTCGCTCCCAATAGAGATTCCTTTGGATCCAGCCACCCTTACTAAGCACAAGTCAGTGGGGGAATGACACGGCTCCGACACTGGCTCCTCCGGACAGTGCAGCTTCACCCTGTAAGTGGTCTCCTTGGATGTAGTCTCCACGGACACTGGAAAACCAACATCCACAGAATGCCAATAAAAGCATCACAAAACATCACTAAACAATCTTAAAAAAAAAAAAAAAAACAATCACCTGCTTTCCTCCCCTCCGATGTCCAGTGCTTGGAAGAAAACATACAAGTCCAGTCTGACCCAGCAAAACCTGGTCTTTTACCTCGGTGAGTAGTGTTTTTGTATGAGCAACTCCAGTAAAATGAGGTCGGTGACCTGTAGGGACACAGCTATCACAGCTTGTCTCTCCATAGTGGACCAGTAATGACACACAAAAACAAACTATAGCTGTAGCTTATCATAGCTTAATTGTCCCTTGCTTCAACCATCCCAGGTCATCCATGTCTCTGGCAAGACCTTGCTTTTGCCGCCCATGAAGCGCCCCAGGCAAACCATGACGAGCGCCAGCGTGCGATGACGGTCAATGACGCCAGCGTCGAGCAGCGATGCCCATCCAACGGGGGAGACGGAGCCAGCTGGAAAGGGTTGAGCAGCGACGAGCGATGCACGAGCGAAGGTGCGGTGGTTTGGAAGGAGACCAACCCAGTTGGGGGGCCCACATTTTCAGCTCGGAATTGCGGAATTGCGGGTTCCCCACTTTGCTGTGACCTGGTCAATGACACCTGGACGTGCACGTAGTGGTATCTGTCCTGGACGTGCGGAAGGGGTGCTGGATTGGCATTTACATGGCCTGTCTCCGAGGACTCCCACTTGCACCCTGTCGTCGCAGACCGTATTTGGGTCTCGGACCGTCGGGCGGGACGCGCCTGCTCGGTCGACCCACGGCTCGCGCTTCACTTTCATCCACCTGTAACCAACGAAGCTGTGAATGAATCGGGTCATGGAGCTTTGACCAACACCAAGATGTGTTCAGAACAGCAAAAACATTGGCAAACACCTGGAAGAACATGTAAACGTTCTGTAAAACATGTCAAGAAAACATGTTAAACACGTTGCAAAACAAGCAAGCCAAAACATGTCATAACATGGTAAAATATTGGCAAACAAAACCTGGTAAAACATGGAAAACATGGTAAAATGGTAAAGCATGATATACACCATGCAAAACTGCTAAAAATTGCTGAGCCCTGAGTTCCTATCATCCCCTCCCCACATCACTGCTCTCCACAAGCTGGATACTTTTAGCCGCTGCTTCTGAAACTCAAAGGGTACCCAAAACGCACTCTTGGTAAGGGCAAAAAACAACAACCACAATCCCCTAAAACTTTCTTGTTGACTGCCTGCAGGCAGAACCTCAGGAACTTTGCAACTTCATCATGTACGTCTTCAGATCAAAAGGCCCCAGTGATTTGGCACCACGACGCATCTTAGCTGCTCTGTTCGAAGCTCCCAATCTAATCGGCTCGCACGCGTAGCCATGCCTTCTGCAAGTTCCAAGTCGTAGATATACCTTGGATTTGCTTCAGAAACCTTATGGGCCCATGTAAAATAATTCCCAAAAAGGTCCTTAAATTTAGGAAGGCCAAAGAAACAACATCACCTTAAAGCAAACCAGGGTACTCATATGTTCTGACAGGATATGTAACCAACTCATCTCGCTCTAGCTCGCTCATCACCTGACCCATGAAACGTGTCCCACGCACTTGCAGCGAGGACCACCCTCTGACAATTTTCTCAGTCAAAACATCTACGAGGAGGTGCACGGTCCACGGGAAAAGATCATGATGCAGAATCACGAAGGCATTGGTTTGTTTTATAATTTATACTGGCAGAGTATAATGGTGTTTGTGTTACTGGTTTTGTTGGATGTTCCATCAGTTCTAAGTATGTGCTTCTATGACGTTAGTTCCGTGTTGCTGTCTAAGGAGTCCTTTTGGGATGCCTATATTTGCAGTTATCTGCTTCCGTTTGGCATTATTACATGATGATCTTACATGATGATCATGATGCACCAATGTGATTATAGGTCAGAACCCGGTACCGGACGAACACCCAAAACAAACGACTCTTGGAATCCAATGTCACAAGCATTGATGTGAAAGATGTGAAGAACATCCCAAAGGACTATCTCTTGGAGGGGACTGAGATGCACGAAGAAAGATGTGAAGACACAGGATGGCATGAAAATGGCAAGGCTCTTCACACATTGCAAGGGAGATCATTTGGACTTCAAGCGGACAGAGATGTTCAACAAGAGTGACATTGCTCTTGTGTGCATGGTGAGCTGGGAGTTTCTCAATCGGACCAACCCCAGTTCTTATAGTTCTTATCCTCAAAACCAGAAGATGAAGGTGAGGGTGGGACAAGGAGTTTGAGGCCGGGGTTTTTGCATGGCTAGCGCTTTTGCTAGCATGATCAGGCATGATGACTGGCAACGAGTCGAACCGATCACCAACGTCCAATGTGTAACCGACACTCGGAACCGTGACAGGGAGGATTTGGGCGGCCAGGGAGGAAGAGAAGGCGGCCAGTGCAACTGCGGCTAGTTACTTGCAGAAAGATGACCAACTGGGAGTTTCCTTCGTTGCCTTATATTTAATGTTCGAAAGCAAAGGAGATTGAGGCTTCCAAGCTTTGTGCCAAGCATTTGAACTCTGACTCAGAGGCTGGTGTGCTAAGCTTCGTCGAGCTAGTAGGTTCAGATTGTTTAAGCTGCGAAATGACAGGTTAAAGGATGTTGAAGGCAAGAAGTTTTAGTAGGTCTTTGTGGTTTCTGGATTGTTTGACTGCTTTCGTTCCAACACGCAAGCAGGCCTTTATGGACTGCGTTTTTGATTTGTGCCAAGGGGGACAGAAGATGATGCTCGAGGTACAGCAAGTATGCTTTCGGCCTAGAATGACTTTAGGCTGACAGACTACTGTGCAGAGTTGAGGGAGTGCTAAGATTGCTGGGTGATCAACTCGCAACTGGTGGGGTCCCTCTTCTGCCTGAAACCACTTTATGACACCTTCAAGCTGTGCATACAAAAAGTTCGAGCTAGTTGTCGCTGGTGTTTCAATCTTGTCGAATATGGTTCAGTTTCGTTTCAGCGTTTCAGATTGTCAACAGTTTTTTTGCTTGGTACGGCTACTTGCAGTGAATGTCTCGGAATTTCTTGAACAGCTTCAGCTTTATACAATGCTTTTTCTCTGGTCGGCGGGCTCAATGCTTCGCTGAAATGCAGCTGGAATGGGTGCTAGCGAGCAGGTAGCAAGTAGGCCATGAGTCCATGAGCCTGTTTTCTTTTGTGCATCAGAACCAAAGGTCTTATTGTTTGAACACGTGTTTTAGCATTTCTCTTTTTTAGTTGAATGACCCTGACATCTATCCATGGCAAACCCTCTGACCACTGCGATGAATCGCCTAATGGTTCGATGAATGAATGAATCCGCACGATCCGAGCGGCTCAGCAAAGTGTCTCTCAAGCTGTGACTCAGTTGTCTCTCTCTCACTTACTGACTGACTTACTTACTTACTCACTCACTCTCCTTTCTGTTGAACAGCCTAGCATTGCAATAGTTAATCTCTGTGAGGCTGTATCTCTCAGGTTCGTGTGTTTGAACTTATCAGTCGGCGTAGTGCATGGCCAATAATGTCATAAGGCAAAATCCAATAGCCGCTATCGAAACCACAGGTGAAAGCACATTCTTCTCGCTCTGAAATCAGTGGAATAATCCGAAAACCTAACAGCTGCCGAACACCTGAAGAGTCATGCGCCCGAGTGAAACGGGCACCTGATTGCTTGAATGTTGAAAGAGGTCTGCCAGGCCCACGTGCATGTCCTAAAATGTCCTCCTTCCCAAGTTGACATCCATTCACCCAAAGATACCCAAACAATAAACAATCACCCCTTTCACAGGTGAACAACCCGACGTTGACAAATGATAACAAATTATCATCAAATTATCAAAAATTAGAGGTTCTAAAGGCATTCAAGTTGGGGAGAAGAGATTCCACCGCCCAACTTGCCGCCGCATGGCCGTCATGCCAATGGCTAGATGCTGCTAGATTGGTGCCAGCTGACCAGGGATCGGCCTGCCAACACTCACACAAACAAACAAACAAACAAATAGAGCGAGCCGGAATCGTTGGGGATCAAAGAATTGAGTAGTTCTCGTTTGACGTTGGAGTACTGCCACCCACAGTGAAATCTTTGGTGCTTGAGGAAGTATTGAGTATTCTCGGAAAATGCACTATGTAAGCAGAATGTCTGGCACAGAACCACAACATCTAAGCCTTGGTACACTTGGAGCCCGTTACAATTACCCGTCGACTTCATCTCATCAGCTCTGGCGTTCTTGAGATTTCTAGATCGGGCGGTCAACTTTGAGTTCTAGCATGCTGAGGCATCATTGTATGACATTGCACGTGGTCCTCGTCGATTCTAGTCGGCAGTTTCATTGACATTGCAGTTCAACAATATGTGTTGTCTAGACACACGCTCTGTGTTCCATTCTCTGGCTTCCTCATACTTACAAGTGACTTGACCCAAGTTTCTTCAGAAAACTCACACATGTGGTTTCCACGTTGTTCAAATTTATCATGTCCCACCAATCAAAACTGACCAAAATACAATACAATACAATACAAATGAGTACAATCTAGCACTTTCTACACAGAGGTCCCCTGCCCCAACCGCAGTACGCTTGTACGTCTCATCCATCAAAACCTTCACGTCTTCTGCTCACTCTGGTCCCCCAAAACAATGCCATAGGTGTGGACGAGACCATACCGCGTCCGGTGAGCTCTGATCGTCCCCCCTATGTTCACTCTGATCCACCAACGGCCGCGTCCGGTGTGGACTTGTTCACACCAGCGAGTCGTCTTCCCACCCAGGGCCACACAAGAATCACGTGGAGGGCGAAGTAGGGGGTGGAACACCCCATATTCTTGCTTGGATTCTTCAATCGCTTCAATTTAGTGGCTGGTGAAGCAAGGAAAGCAAAGGAACACCCGCTAGCGGTGTTCGGAGATGTTGCGCATTGTTGCAACGCACAAGATGTCAACCGTAGCCAGTGAAAAGATCCCATTGCACCAGAAATTAGTCAGGTACCAGGTAACAACCATTGTCACAACTAGTTCTCTTCCAGGGTCACAACCATTGTCCCGAACAAGTGCTGGGATCCTGGAAGAACCTGGACGATTCAGAATTCATCCACCGAACCGTGCGGTACCTCTGGCCTCGCCTCCCCTCCAAGTACGCGGAGATCACTTCAAGGATGGCATCTTCCACGGCCTGTGCAGCCTGAAGGACAACAGGTGTGAGAACGAGGACACGGGTCAATTGCCAGGGGTGGGGTGGTGAAAAGCCTGTGCTGGCAAGCCTGTCAAGTTCCTGTCAAGTTTAGGAAATCGTCTCCCGTGTTGAAGGATAATAACAACAATTGTATCACGGAAATCACTCAAACTGTTGTCGTATTGGATGATATTGGATGCCTACGAAAGGTGTGAAACTGGGACTTGCAACAAGGGCACTGGCCAAAACCCTGGCCTGGCAAGCAAGAAGGAAGATATTCTCTAAAACCCGCTTGCCCTTTCACTTGTGCATGATCGTTATGATCGGCAAATGCATGTTTTCATGGTGCTACTCTGCAAAAGCCTGGGACATAGGAAGGTCATGGAAAGTATGAGAACTCAGCGGTTTGGTCAAGACAAACGGTGACACACCTGAGATGTGTTCAGATCCCTCCACGCCCGGTCCGGCAGAAGACACAGCAACAGCATTGTTCCGTTGGTGAGTTTGGAGGCCATGCACAGCAAAGAGTTGCCCCTTTAATGAAGTGGAACTTTCTGTATTATTCTTTAT